TATATCGGCGCTCACTGCATACGGATACTGTCGGAACCTCATGATCACTCCGGGCAGTGATTGTAATAAGTCGGGCCCCGAGTGAAGCATATCGTTGAGACATATTCCGGCTGTCTTCGCTGCAGCGTCGTGTACCAATCTCGGCGGCTTGTTCGGTTTCGCAGGGTTGATGACTGGGAAGTGTGGCAGATACCATGTCCTTCCTTGCGGCGGTGGCATTGGCGCGCGCTCTGCGTAACCCGAGTTGAAGAGGTTCTCGATGCGTTCTTCGTACTGTAGCTTGAGATTGCTGTCTCGGTCGAGCCTCTTCTCTAAGGTGTGCAGGCGCCTTTCCGCTTCCTTATAATTATTTGGTATTTGGAAGTCCTTTTGTTTCCACAACAACCCTGTCTCGAATCTGCCGTCCGCTGACCTCTGGCTGGTTTCGTCCAATATTTGCATGGCTCGCTGCTCGGGATCTTCTTTCGGTCTTCTCGGCTCGATGCACAGCGACTCCAATTTGAAATAATTTTTTATTTCTTCTTCTATCGGTGGTGCATCTTCCCTCTGATGTAGTCTGCCGCAGAAGGTGACCGTCGACGTCAATGAGCTATGACAGCCATGCAGAACCCAGCCCAGGTTGGTGTATGAGGCGACTGGTTGGTCTCGACGGCCGACGCGCAGTTTTCTAGACACTATGAGGTGCCAGTTATCTTGCCCGATTAGTACTTTCGGTGAGGCGCGTTCGTAGGTGATATCCTCTTTGATATCCAACAGATGTGGGCAATTCCCCAAGTGATCTTCATTCACGGATTCTGGCGCGAAGTCCAACCGCTCTACAGTACGCGCTGCTTCTATGTTGTGTTCTTCTTGCGCGTACGTTCCTCTTATTTTAAAGCTGACGATCTTGCTCTTCTCGTGTTTCACCTCCGAGCCGACCCCTTGTATCCACATTGTGTGGGCTGGGCCGTCGGCGCCGATGACGTCGGCGATTGAGGCATCGACTAAGGTGACCGTGCTCCCTTCATCCAATAATGCGTATGTTTCGACGCAGCTTAGCGGCCCCCTTATTGTTACGGGCGCAATCTTTAGGTAAGCGCGGCGGTGCTTGTACGGTCGAGTCGCTGTGTTGACCTCCTTTGCCGATGTTGCGGTTTCCATAGCGGGTTCTTTTTCCATTACTGCTGTTCTGTCGTGATGCAACAATTTATGGTGTTTCATCATGCATCCGCCTTTTCCGCACGGTGGAGCTTTGCACAGTAATCGACGATGTTTGCCTCGCAGACAGCGGTAGCAGATATTGTACTTCTTTGCTACTTCCCATCTGTCATTTGTGGACAGAGCGGCGTATGACTTGCAATCGGGCAGTTTGTGTTCTTGTTTGCATTGAGGGCAGCGTTCTTCATATGGTTTCTTGCTTGTGGCGAAGGCACGTTCTATTTTTCTTGGTCTTCGCTCTCTCGTTTCGCTGTCCTCTGCGATGAACTCCGGCAAGGCATACGCGCTGCATTTATCCGCTTCTTCGTTTAAGAACATTGATATCTTCTTAAGCTCTGGGATATCTTCTTTCTTTCTGGCTGCATAGTCGTACCATTTGCTTTTCAATATGGGCGTGAGTTTGTCTGTGATAACTCGCGTCATTTCTGGACTATGCAGATAGTGTGCTTTCTTGAGTGCTTCCACGGTGCCCACTACGTTCGCTATGCGATTTGCGAATACGCATAGCTTCCTGGGATTGTCCGTAACTTTGTTCAGCAGCTTCAGCTTCTCTATTTCCAAGTGAATTAACGCTTCTGGTCGTCCGAATCTCCTTTCCAAAGCTTCTATTATAATTCTGGGATCTGGTTGGCTTATAAGTAGGCAACCTGCGGCTTCTTTTGCTGTCCCTTTTAAGCTTCGGCGTATTCTCGCTATGTTTTCGTTCGCCGTGAAGTACTTTGAAGATTCTTCGTACATTGTCTTGAAGCTGAGCCACTCCTTGCTGCTACCATTGAATGAGGGCAGCTCTTGTATATATTTCGGCGGCTCCCTTGTGCTTCGTACTGCTTGTGATAGAGCAGCGGCTAAGGTAGCGACGTCGATTTGCTGCTGCGCCTGTCCATAGTCTTCTTTCTGCGGCGCGGTATGTTGCGGAGCGTATTGCGGCGCACACTGTTGAAGTACGGGTGGTGCGATCTGCAGTGCTGGTTGCGGCGCGAAGTACGACGTGGGTTGCGGCGCAGGCTGCGGCGCGGGTTGTGGCGCGGGCTGAGGCGCGGGTTGCGATGTAGGTTTTTCTTGCAACCATGTACTAATGCGCACTGATGCCAAATCGTCTTCTATTTCTTCATCTTCATCGGTTGATCCGGCTTCTGCTTGTAGTCGCTGCACGCGTATTTCTTGCAATTCTGTTCTTGCTTGCAACTGAGCCTGCTCGAGCTTGAGTTCGGCTAACCGCTCTTTCGCCTCTAACTCCGCGAGGAGTCTCTTGCGTGAGGCTACGGAGCGGCGTGACCTAGTCTCGCCGGGCTTCAATGTGCACTGCGATCTTTGATCACCCTCTTGCTGGGTTTCTTCCGTTGCGGTTGTTCTATCGGTTGCCGAGGTAGCGGTCGTATCGCTGACCGTTGTGGTTTCGCTAGTGGTGTTTGTTGAACCACTAGCGGCTGAGTCGCCCCCGGAGGCCTCTTCTGTGGCCCCCTGGGTTGTTTGTTCATCCTTGCGACGCTTCGATGATTCTCCGTTGTTACTACGCGTAATCACCATTCTTCTTTACAATAATATTTTTTCGTTCTTGCGGTTTGCTTCTTTCTTCCGGCAATACCAAGACCGATATTGTCTTTTTCTTCTAGTAATCCGGCTTCTCGAAGGACCATTAATATTACGGATCGCCGTAATGCCGTGCGAAAAATGGAATAAAACGCGCTGGTCTTGCTTTTAACTGGAGGCAAGCGGCGGTGAGGAGGAACTTGTACTTTTTCTTTTCTTGCTGGTGCCTTTTCGGTGGCTGGAGAGCGACTGCTGACCCTAGCGGCCGGCCCGTCTTTTATATGATTTGGCCGCTGCTGGCCAGCGGACCCTTGCCTCACCCCCGCGCCTATCTTTATTTATTTAATAACCTTACAAACTAATAAACATAATTCACTATATAATATTCTTATAACTACTTGTTAGACTAGGGTGTACATATCAATATTTTTACTTATTTACAGGTTTACATTATAATTTTCAGCTGCTTTAGGCGGAGAATCCTTCCCCCCGCCTCAGCACTATAAATATAAAACGTCGTGGCGCGGTGCGCGTGGCTTCATTTGCTCCGCGGCCGCGTCACGATAACATGCTCTTTGGTTACACTACTACTATTATTTTATGTGCCTAACGGCCTAATATATTTATTATATAATAAAGTAAACATTTATTATATTTAACAATTACAGTTTTCATTAGAAGACTATGCTAACTCTCCCTGTTCATACGGTGCCTTTATTTGGGAGAGTTATTGCACAGTTACAACTCAACCTTAAACTTAGTTATAATACAATCATTATTTTTTATCGTTCGATACAAGTAATACAATTATTTACACAAATTATAATTTAAATTCAACATAAGGTTGCGCTAGTCCCGCCGTATAACCCTTGCTAGTTGTCGAACCAGAGGCGTGGCCTGATAATTACACCGTCGTCATGGCTCCGCCCACCGCTCCTAGGTTGTTCAACTAGCGCCGGTTACAATAAGCATTTTCTTTCGTTTGTTTAATATTGTTGCGTCGTGCACAGATGTAGATGTCTATGATCTCTCAGATGTCTGCCCCACAGCAACCACTCAACACCAGGTGGACAGTGTGCTCGTTTGTCACCCTTGTTCTATATAAAAATAAGTATACGATTATGTCCAGAAGACTTTAAAAAATAATATTAGTACTTTCAACAATACTAATCTTGCTTGCGATAAGAGTGGTTCACGCCATATCACGAGGTGGGGGAGGGAGGGCTTAGTAGCGATAGTTTGGTCATGTCATGCACGGTGAATAATGGAGGACGAGGAACTTACTTGGCTGGCCCGAGGTGAAAGCTGGCCAATGGGTTCTTCCGGATCGGCTAGCAGGACTTCAGATTTGTGGTGGTGAACTGCGGACCCAGATTGGTGGATTTGATCACATAACTTTTAAGAGTTATGTAGTCCGTATTCTTAACGATTAGTTTACTGTCGTATGAAGATGATTATGCTAATTATGTCAAATGTCACGTTTGCAGCATTTCTTTTAATCTTATTTAATGAACCTCGAATCTGTATAAGAAAAATATTTTTAACATTATAAGCCAGTGCGTGGCTACCATCCACCTGATGGTAAGTGGTAAAATGAAATTAAATATATTTACAATTTCGACGTAAGTAAATTTTGAAAGTTTATTTGGTTTGGTATAGATAAAAGATTGAGTGAACTCACATGCATTTTCATGGACAACATCAGCTGTTACAGCATTGGTGTCAAGCTTTACAACAGGATCGGACATAATTGGTATTCAGACCATTTTAAACATCTCCGATCTAGATAATTTAAATCTATATTTTCTTTAAACGTTGTAAATATGCAATATGAAACACAAGTACAAATAAATCGTTATCACTTATCATTATAAAATCTGTAATTCCACGCGAACGAAATCTATTTCTTAGCAATCAAGGTTATTAATATTAGCATTGTTAGCGACGTGCTCAAAAATTGTTATACAAATTTGTATTAGCTTACGGTGGCGGGTATGACGGCCCAATCATCTCATATGTTTTAAATATTATGTTAAATTTTAAGGTAGAAATCGAACGGTGGCGCAGTCAGTCAGCCTTTACTATCGCTCGCGACACACGTACCTTCGCTCTCTCTCATATGCTTTGTTCGTGTACCTACGTTGTGTAATTTAAAATAAACGGTTTTAACGAAATTTTGGTTTTCGAGTTTTCCTACTATTTTATCGCGCCAGTGCACCCTTTACAAAGTGGTCTTCGAACCGGATCTAATGTTCAGCACGCCGCCTGCAAAAATGGTAAAAACTCGAAGCACTACACGCAAGGAGCTCGAGAGCAAAGAGGACGAAAATCAGGAAGTCCAGTTACAAGTGCAGCCTCAGCCAACTGATGGAAATACACAGAAGGATAAACAGACACCGACCGCTAGCCAACTATATGATGTTGCGGGTAGCAGCGTCAAGCGCGAGTACCGCTTGCAACAGCCGCCCGCTTCGCGCACCGGGGCTAAGTCAACGTCCACCTCGTCCTCTCTGATGGCCAGGAGAAAGAAACTGGAACTAGAGATAGCTAAAGAAAAGGCTAAAATTCAAATGGATCTCATCGAAAAGCAGTTTCAGGCGGATTTAACAGACCTTATGGATGAAAAAGAGGAAATATACAGTCCACATAGTGACCCGCACGACGACACCAAGAATAAGAAAGTGGAGCAATGGTTAGATCAAAGCCAGCTCGAGCACGAACCCCCGTTGCACGCTCCAGAGTTCGGTGATCAGCCGGGCAAGCAGTGTCCGCCGGCGGCACCCGTTGCCGGCCCATGTGACGGAACGGTTCATATGCTCGCGAGCGCACTACAGAATCTATCCTCGATCTCTGCAAATAATAGGACAAACAACAACCTGCTTAGTCGCATGTGTACCCCCCGGGACCTACCTAGTTACTCAGGGGACTCGCTGGAATGGCTCCAGTTCAAGCAGGCTTATGACGAGTCTACCGAAGTGTGCGGGTTTAGCCCGAAGGAAAATTTATGGCGTTTAAGAAAGTGTCTTCACGGGCCAGCTAAGGAAGCAGTCTCAGCTCTCATGATAAGCGGTACATCACCCGACGTAGTGATAAAAACTTTAGAGCTACTATACGGTAACGCAGACACCATTCTAAGCAAAATTACCCAGGGCCTGAAGAAACTACCACCTATGTCGAACGAATACAACAAAGACATTGTGTCGTTCTCAGTTAAAGTTCAAAATTTCATCGCAGCTGTGCACGCCGTCGGCCGAGAAGAGTACGTGCAAGGAATGCATATTTCAAATATTATTTTATCCAAGATGCCTACCGTACTAATATCAAAATGGTCCGATTATAGTTTTGCTATAATAAAGGAAGGAAAGAAATCACGTTTGAATATATTAGGCGATTTTTTAAATCAAGAAGCTGTGAAAATTTCGACTACAGCGAACATACACGCCACAGAGGCTCGCAGCGTCGGATTTCAGCAGCACTACAAGACTAAACCTTACAGCAACATCACCAGTCGTCCTCATGCAGTATTAGTGCAATCAACGCACAGTGACATTAAGTGTTTATTTTGCAACGTCGCAAAACATAAATTAACTGAGTGCAAAATGTTTAAAAAAGCGTTGCGCAAAGACAGGTGGCGTCACGTTAAACGCCACGGCGTATGTTACAAGTGCTTAGTGTCGCGCCACGATCGAGAAACGTGTCCCGCGGCCGTCTGCGACAAGGACGGCTGCGGCGAGGCACACCACCGGCTGCTGCACTACGTGCGCGACGCCGGCCGGGAGCCGCGCGACGCCAGCCGGTGCCGCGCGACGCCAGCCGGGAGCCGCGCCCCGCCCCGCCCGGCGCGGGCGACACCGGCGACACCGGCGACGCGGCCCACAGCGGCCACACTTCTGGAGCCGCAGCTGCTACCGTGACACACATTAACTCTGCACACAACGTGTTATTGAAAGTAGTACCTATAAACATACACGGACCTAATGGTGTAATCAGCACGACTGCATTGCTCGACGACGGATCAACAATAACATTGATAACCGGTTCCCTCGCTGCGCGGGCCGGCCTGCGCGGCCGCACTGAGACTATGCGCGTGAGCGGAGCGTGGAGCGGTAGCGATGTTATTGTTGATTCTACTGTTTTGTCTATAAATGTGTCTGATAAAAATAATTGTAATATGTCTACCATTAATGCACGAAGCGTAAACAATTTAAAATTGTCTGAGCAAAATCTTTATTCAATCGATTGTAGTCAGTATGCTCATTTGAAAAATTTGAAACATGATTTAATATTTTGTAATAATAATATTAAACCTGAAGTACTAATCGGCCAGGATAATCATCATTTGTTAGCTCCTATTGAAATGTGTATCGGTAAACGTAATGAGCCGTCCGCTACTCGCACCACCCTAGGCTGGTCCTTACATGGAATAGCGCGCGCACCGCCACACGGCACCCGCGCCTCGCACCCGAGCCATCTACTGTGCTGCAGCGCGGGGCCCGCCGCGCCCGCCGCCGGTGATGCCGAGGACTTGCTTCGCGAACTTCATGACGAGGTAAGGCGCTCATTCATGCTCGATTCCTTAGGTGTGTGTAGCAAACCCCGTGAGAGCAGCGAAGACGTGCGCGCGCGCGCTCAGGTGGAGCGCTCGGCAACGCTCGTGGCGGGCCGCTGGCACGTCGGGCTTCCGTGGCGCGATGAAGGCTGCGTGTTGCCCGATAGCTACGCTAACGCTTGCAACAGGTTCAAAGGAGTAGAAAAAAAGATGGTGGCGAACCCTGACTACGCCAAACGTTACTCTGAACGAGTGGATCACCTTTTACTTAATGATTACGCTAAAGAGTCGACTGATATTCGGCGCACACCGCGAACGTGGTATTTACCACACTTTGGGGTCGATAATCCTAATTAAAAAAAGTTGCGTTTCGTTTTCGATGCAGCAGCGAAAAGTCACGGAAAATGTTTAAATGATTACCTATTGCAAGGTCCCGACTTACTCGCGTCCCTATTCGGCATTATGGTACGTTTTAGAGAGAATAGGGTCGCTGTAGCCGGGGACATTAAAGATATGTTCCTGAGAATTAAAATAAGGTACGAGGATCAAAATTCCCTTAGATTTTTGTGGAGACCTCGCCCCGAACAATCGGTCAAAACTTTTAACATAACTTCGCTCATATTCGGTGCTAATTGTTCCCCATTTATAGCACAGTACGTGAAAAACAGGAACGCGGAACGTTTTGTTTCGTCGCTGCCCGCTGCTGCCGACGCTATCTGCAACCAGCACTACATGGACGACTATCTGGACAGTTTCCCGGACGAAGCCACCGCGACGCAGATGGTAAGAGATATTGTGTACATTCACAAAGAGGGCGGCTTCGAAATATGCAATTGGAATAGTAACAGTGTAGTAGTGTTGGACAGCATACCAAAAGAGACCTTAGGTACAGTGGCGGTAAGTCTCAAAATGGGTCAGCAGTGTGAAGGAGAACGAACGCTCGGTCTTATTTGGTTTCCCGCTAAAGACGAGCTGGGGTTTGATTTATCCTTCAAGCGCATTCCAGAGTACGTAGTGAACGGAGCACAAGTGCCTACTAAAAGGGTTATGCTGCGAGTAATTATGTCTATTTACGATATTTTTGGTTTCTTGTCGCCGTTCACAATACAAGGTAAAATAATGCTCCAAAATCTTTGGCGATCAAACATTGGCTGGGACGACGAGATTCCCAATAGCATTTTTAATAAATGGAAAACCTGGATCGATTTGCTAAAGGAAATGAGTAAGTAATGTACGCATTCCTAGGTGCTACCTAAGCCCTCTAGGTGCGAGCGAGACAGGTGATCGCATGGCAACGGACACAGCTGATATTGTAGCAGGTCAGTGCTCCCCCGCGCCCCGCGGCCCGCCTACGCCCGCGAAGCCCGCTACGGCCTCTACGCGACTGACCGGGAGCTACGAAACCGCGCGAGCTACGAGTGCTACGAAGTACAATAACACACAGCTGCATGTTTTTTGCGATGCATCTACTAAAGCGACGTGCGCTGTAGCTTATTGGCGGTGGACGTGCAATGGTAATGTGTTTGTTGCATTTATAGCAAGTAAATGTCGAGTTGCGCCGGTAAAACCACTGACTGTGCCGCGACTAGAGTTGCAAGCAGCGCTTCTAGCGGCGAGACTCGCCGACACCATTGTTAAGGAGCATAAGTTGAGCGTGTTACAGCGATTCTTTTGGAGTGACTCGACCACGGTTTTGCACTGGATTAATAATGACGCGAGAAATTATAAAACATTTGTAGCAAACCGGTTGGGCAAGATTGATGAGGTCACTAGTAGTAAAGAATGGCGATAAGTGCCTACTGAATTAAATGTTGCGGATATAGCTACACGCGAAACCTACGACGACGCCATTTTTAAGAGTGTATGGTTGGGGGGCCCTACGTTTCTGCGTGACGATGAGTCATCGTGGCCGCGTCCCGTCATTCGTCCTGTCACTGATGTCGAGACAACTGAATGTGTTAACCTGGTAACAAATGTGGTTACTGCGGACATCCCTAGTGTCGAGCCTACTCCCGATCCGGAACGGTTTTCTTCGTGGCTGCGGTTGCTCAAAAGTACAGCCGCTGTTCTTAGATTTATATGTAAGTGCAGGAAACGTACCGATGACGATTGCGAATTAATGGAACAGGCTAAACGTTTGCTGTTCCGGCGGGTACAGAGCGAGGCCTTCGGCACGGAAGTGAGCGCAAATAGAGAAGGTAAATGTTTGCCCCGCAACAGTCGTATTCTCAACTTGTCACCTTATTTGGACGGGCACGGCGTCCTTCGTTGCGGCGGACGCATTGGTGCGGCACTTGATGTCTCTTCCGAGACAAAAAACCCGAGTATCCTCGACGGGCGACATCGAGTGACGCGATTGTTGGTAAGACATTTCCACATAAAAGCTGCTCACGGAAACCAGGAGACAGTGGTAAATAACCTAAAGCAAAGGTACTGGATCATTAAAATGAGACCCACTGTTAAACATGTAGCTGCCGGATGTATGATCTGCAGAATAAGGAAGGTGAAACCGGAAATGCCAGTGATGGGCGATTTACCTCCCGCTAGAGTGGCGCATCACCAACGAGCTTTCACACACTGCGGTGTGGACCTATTTGGACCGATGGAGGTGGTGGTAGGGAGGAGAAGGGAAAAACGGTACGGTGTCATATTTACATGCCTTACAGTTCGGGCTATACACCTGGAGATCGTGCATTCCCTCACTACTGACTCACTAATTATGGCCCTCCGGCGTATGGCTGCCCGCCGAGGGTGGCCACGCTGCCTTTACTCCGATAACGGAACTAACCTACGTGGCGCTGATGCGGAGCTACTGAAGTCGATCCAGGAACTTGACGACGAGACCCTGAAGAACGAGGCTACTAACAATGGGACACAATGGTCTTTTATCCCACCGGCGAGCCCCCATTGGGGGGGGGGGGGCGTGGGAGCGTTTAATACGTAGCGTTAAGGTATCTCTAGGGGCTATACTCAAAGAGCGTGTCCCCAAAGATGAAGTTCTCGCCACCTTTATGACTGAAGTCGAGAATATAGTCAACAGCCGCCCCCTTACTCGTGTGTCTGTAGAACCTGGTAGCGACGAGTCGTTGACGCCAAACCATTTTCTGCTGGGTAAGAGTTCCAACTTACCTGCTGCAGGTGTCTTTGATGACTCTGACCTGTACCTACGAAAACAGTGGCGAAAGAGTCAACGCTTAGCTGATATGTATTGGCGCAGATGGGTAACAGAGTACCTACCGGAGCTGATACCTAGAAGGAAGTGGAATGAGGAGCGCGAACCGCTAAAGGTAGGTGATCTCGTGCTGGTCGTGGACCCTGGAGCGCCACGCAACGTGTGGCAGAGGGCGATCGTGGAACAGGTGTTTCCAGGCAAGGACGGCCGGGTCAGGTTGGTTGAAATCAGAACCAAATCAGGGACGCAGAGACGTTCAGCGGCGCGCGTCGCTAGAATTCCTTTGTCTGAGTAGTGCTGAGCCAGCACTGGGGTGGGGTGTGTTAGCGACGTGCTCAAAAATCGTTATACAAATTTGTATTAGCTTAAGGTGGCGGGTATGACGGCCCAATCATCTCATATGTTTTAAATATTATGTTAAATTTTAAGGTAGAAATCGAACGGTGGCGCAGTCAGTCAGCCTTTACTATCGCTCGCGACACACGTACCTTCGCTCTCTCTCATATGCTTTGTTCGTGTACCTACGTTGTGTAATTTAAAATAAACGGTTTTAACGAAATTTTGGTTTTCGAGTTTTCCTACTATTTTATCGCGCCAGTGCACCCTTTAAAAGCATAATGCTACTAATAATGAAGGCATGACAGAAAATCTTGTCAGGCGATATTCATCAATTCTTCAATAACACTGTCGTTGTGAAATGCAATTATGTATATTTTCACTATCAACAGGGCATTCCATCTTAGTATTTAGTGGTGACAACGTATCTGCATTTTGATTCTTAAACGAGGATATATGTATATGACTATGGGCTTACCAATCCATTAACCATCAGTTGCGCTGTGACTCGTTTGTATTAAATTATATTAATAAAAAATATTCTATAAAAAACCAAGTGGCCCCTCTTAATACTAAATAATAAAATAAATGTGGTCTGCGTTTTCGTTTCTCATTCTTAATTTTATAAAATAAATTGTCCAACTTTTTTCATTATGTATTTAACAAATTTGTATTCATGAATTCACGATGTCGTCTTACTAACCTTAATACTTTAAAAAGTGCTTCTCAGTACCCCTCGCCGTCTGCTGATACACACGAGATGCAGACATGAATTATTCACGTTTTGGGTGGGTTTATTGTGGGAGGAGGAGATGAAATAACAATTCTATTGGATTAAAGATGTAAAAAGTAAGTGGCTAAAATCTGCGTAAAAGATAAAAGTGATGTGAACCTTACGTTTCTCTTTCTCGTGTGTAGTGGCGGCGTACGAATACGAATATTCACTACCCCACTTCGACCCGTGATTGCCGTATAAGCCAGAATCCACCTGCCATGCTTTACAACTATAGCAAAATAGGGGTATTTTACTATGAGGTAATCTATGGAGTGGGCTATATTCAGCAATGGACTTTTGTAGGCTGTAATGGATGGATGGATAAAGGATATATCTTACATAGTTGAAAAGCACCTCCCGAACACCCTCTAATATTTCAGATCTGTATGTCATCACTGGCAACAGGCACTGGTTGTAAATGTTGTTTTGACATGGCTAGCATTCGAATAAGCTAAGTATACGATTAAAGCTGAAAACGCGTCTAAAAGAGAGCCGTAGTAGCTCAGATAGTTAGTGCTCGTTGTAAATTATACAGTACGTGGGCAACACGGGTTCGATACCCGCCGGCATCACTGAAATTGTTAAAGAAAAATATAGTGAGGAAACCTGCGTGTGAAGTTTGCCAACACGCATTAGAGCAGCGCTATGGACATTTCCTTGCCCTAAAACCCTATCAAAAATGAGGGGAGGCTTGTGCCCAGCAGTGGGACGTATAGAGGTTCGAACTTTAGTTTAAACTTTTAACGATTAAAGCTAATGGAGTTAATACAATCAAGAGACAAGTCCCTCCCCTCGTTATGAGTAGGATAAAAGTCAAAGGAATTAAAAGTCAAAGCGACGGAATTAATCCTCCATATAGCCTATATTAATGCTAGACATGTCAAAGCACCACGTGGAATTTTTTCGGACCGATACGACCTAGGGACTTTCGAGAAAAGAGCTTAGTCCTTTACTTAAAGGCCGGCAATGCACCTGTGATTCCTACCGACGAAATATATATATTTACAATCATGGTGCAAATGAGGAGGGCTGGTTAATATCAGAGGTACTGCCTTACAGATCGAAGAACTGACATCTGATGGGGTAGAAAGATTCTCGAGTGGCAGTCTAGTACAGGTAGCCGAATTGTATAAACCCACTAGATGGACAGGGACGTGGAAAACATGCAGGAAGGCGATACATGTAGGTGGTTCAGAATCTTTTGAATTTGGTGGCATTTCTCGGAAGAGGCAGTGGTTCAGAAATGGAATTGTGATGGGCAGTAATGATGATGTAAGTAATCGTTATAACAACGGTCATTATTTTGACTGTTTTGTTAGTCTAGTGGTCGTAAACGTAACGTATCACTAGGTCCCTGGATCGAATACTGGGTTAGGCCAAAATCTGTTATTGGGTTTTGCTGTCAAAAACTCATCAGTAGCAGCCCGGTATTGCCTACATTTTACCCCGTGCCTCAGAAAGCACGTAAAGCCGTTGGTCCTGCATCTGACCTCTCTCCAGTAATGTCGGATTACCATCTCACCGGATTATGAAAGTGAGGAGATTAAAGGTGCACCTGTGCTTGCGCATACACTCTGACTGGGCATACACTCTGTTGATATTGACAGCCAATTAATATATTTATTGCATGCCTTAAGTGCAAAGCGCGTAGGTATGTTCTACTAGCGCCTAAAAATTAAAATTCCAAAATTTTGTCGCATGAAATCCTATCCAGCAATCATATTATACATATAAGTGATATAAAAAGCACATTGCTAGAAAGATAAATGACTGTTGAACTTATTTTTTTTAATTGATTTAAGGCTATTTTTATATAAAAAAGGGGTTTTAGTGGCTTATGGTGTGGAATTATCAAATCCGCATGGCACCGTAAGCACGATAACTTTTGAAAATATCAATTGTTTAACTCAATATATTTTTTAATCTCTTCATCTATCATGTGGGAAGCCATGGAAAGCCCTTCACAAGCCCACTGCTGAACATAGGCCTCCCCCAAAGAATGCCACAAAGCACGGTCCTGAACCACCTGCATCCATCGACTTTCTGCATATCTTACCAGGTCGTCACTCCATCTAGTGGTGGGACGCCCTGCACTTAGCCTGCCGGTACGAGGCTGCCACTCGAGGACCTTTATTCCCCATCGGTTGTCGGTTCTTCGAGCTATATGGCCGGCCCATTGCCACTTCAGCTTACTAATCCGTTGGGCTATGTCGGTCACTCTGGTTCTACTGCGGATATCCTCATTTCAGAGTTTATCATACAGAGAAACTCCGAGCATAGCCCTCTCCATAGCTCGCTGAACGACCTTGAGCTTCCTCATCCAACCAGCAGTGAAGGACCACGTCTCAGTTTCGTATGTCATCACTGGCAACACGCACTGGGTGTACAATCTCGTTTTCAAGTTTTGAGGTATACCTGATGAGAAGATGTGCCGTAATTTCCCGAACGCTGCCCAACCGAGTTGAATCCGTCGATTGACCTCTCGGTCGAAGTTGGACTTACCTAGTCG